ACATTGAGGGAAGAAAATTGGCAAGGACATAAGCTAAAAGATGCATTATTGGTGGAATTTATATTGTTACATAGCCACTATGACAATCAGTATGGAATTTCCTCAAAAACTACAATTTAAAATGCTATTGATCAAGCTATACCATATCAGCATATTTCGGGAAAGAGTTAAACTCAAAGTATGATAGATATCTGCACACCCATCATTATTGTGACCCAGTTCACAGTAGCTACACTATAGGATCAGCCTAGGTGTCCATCAACAGATGAATAAAGTAAATATTGTGTATGTATACTGCAGAATGTTAGCCGTTAAGAAAAAAAATGTCATTTTCTGGAAAATAGAAGTAGAGTTTATTAAGCAAAATAAGATAGACCTAGACAAATGTTGCATGTTTTCTCTGATAAGGGGCGGCAAGCAAGAGAGGAAAGGACTGAGGGAGGAAGGGAGGGAAGAAAGGAAAGAGAGAACATGAAAGTAGAAGGGACTAGGAGAGAAGAGGAAGGCAGGAAGAAGGGAGGACAGGGAAAAAGAAGGGGAGTAATAGGAGTGGAAATGATCAAAGCATGTTATATGCATGAACAGATCTCCCAGAATGAAGACCAATAATCTGTATAAGTAATATGAAATTAAACCTTAGTGCAAGTACTAAAAGTAAAATTTCTCTTTTAAAATGTTACCAGAATGTAAAAAAAGAAAACAAATTAAAATTTGAGAGAAAAGAATAATAAAAAATCAATCACGTAGTTCAATTTCCAGTAGATGCAAGTTTCAGAAGTGTGAACTGAGAAATGGAGTGAAGAAAATCGTAGAAGAAACACTAGAAAGTAATTTCCCCAGAACTAAAAAATAGTAACTTTTAGTTTGAAAAGTCTATAGCACAGTGAATGGGGGGTGAGGGGTAGAAAACAGAGCAAGAAGACTGACTAAATTTAACTCGTGTTACAATGAAGACTCTATACCTTGGACCAGGTAAGTGGGATGTGAGGATGGGGGATTGGGAACATACAGAACGATAACATCAAGTTTCTTGTTGGTGATGCTGGGTATTAGAAAGAGAGCATCTTGCACGATACTTTTAAGAAACTCTGAGGGACATTATTTCTGACCTTGAATTTGAAACCCATATAAAGTGAAATTAAGAGAACATAAAAACATTTAAAATAGGTTTATAAGACGTGTACTTTCCTAGGAAATTATTTAAGAATGTTATCAGTCAGGTATAGACAAAGATGTATGAGTGAGGAGACAATGTAATTCTGGAAAGAAAGAAAACAAGTTTTAAGATGACAGCTGTGAAGTATGCTTTGAAAACTGTTAGATGGAGGAAGGTCTCTGAGTGAATGTAACAAGAGGAGATGACTTGGAGTAAGTGTATGTTACATCATTGAAAGACATAAAAGAAAATGATGGAAGACAGTAAAGTGGTGACCTCAAAGTCCGAGGAAAACTAAAACTATACCAAAAAATAGTGGTTAAAAGACAAGGGCAACCAAAGTACACTGATTTTAAGCAGCTGACAAAGCTTAAGAAAAGAGTGAGCAGCAGATAAGATGATAATGTTACAGCACAGGTCAAGCTATTTTGACATAACTACAAAATAGAGATTGCAGTATTGATGAGTATTTGTTTTAGTCATTTTGATAATTCTGTTTCAAAATAGTTTCTCACAAAATATTAAATTCCTATTTTTGTTAATTACCATATAACGTGCCCAAAAGACATCAGTAATTTTTATGCCTCCCAAATATCCTTTGAGTGTCTAGTCTTTCCCGTAATTTTTTTTTTAAATCGGTACTGGGGATCGAACTCAACCACCTGCTTGCAAGGCAGGTGCTTATGCCACTGAGCTAACTCTCCAGCCCCTCTTTCCTGTAATTTTAAGATATAAATATGTATTAACCTTCATGATAATCTGTTACAAATGATTTAGTATCTAAGTGTAATTTACCCCCATAAACTATCAACATAACGTAGCTATCATTATAAAATTCTTAAATGTAGAAATGTTGATAATTGAAAGCTATTTGAAATTTAGTCATTGATTTCTTGTGCAGTCTAAAATTTAGAGTGAGTGACCATGTGGTAGCCCTGCCTTCAGCTCTTCAAGCTGTCTCTGACAAAACCCAATTTCTTAATGTTGGAGATTGAGAGACCTATATAAAACAGATGATACCTTCCTCTACATAAGCAGAAAACAAAAAATAGCACTAAGCTAGCAAATCACACTTGAAAATAAATGACCATTTTGTGTGAATTTCAAAATCTTGCAAAAGAATGTATTCAAGTAACATTTAAGTATATAAAGTTAAAGTTTAAGGAATCTTTACTGTTAGCCGTTGCCTTTTTAAATCCTTCCTATATGTACAGTAACAATCTTTAAACATACAAATTTTTAGTAGGATCAAACTATATTACTATTATACTCTCTCCCTTTTCCACTCAACAGCATATACATGAAGGCTCTTACATGCTATTTACTGATTCCCCTGATTCTAATTAATGTTTGCATAGTCTTCTGTAGTGTGTTTATATTGTAATATATTTAGCAGTTTCCCTGGACATTTCAGGTTTATGTTTAATTTTTTACTAATGCAAGCAACTGTGATTCTCTATATTTTTACATGATAATTTCAGAACTAGGATTCCTAGTTTAAATTTTGTTAGCTGCTACAAATTTATCGTTTAGTTCAAGCAACCATGTACCATATTCTTCTTAACATTAGATGTTAACAACTTTGTAAAATGATTGCAAATCTCATAGACAATAATGGGGTATCATTTTTTGAAGTTTCTTTTCCTGGATAACTTGTAGAATTGAACATTCTTATGTTAAGTGTTGAAACCAGGTGTGGTTGTGCATGCTTAGGAACTGGGGATGTAGTTCAGTGTGAAGGTCCTGGGTTTGATTCCTAGTACTACAAACATAATTAAGATTTGTTTCCCTTTTTGTTCATTTTGTATTTCTCATTTCACATTGCTTTATCAGAGGTCTTCGTTTAGGGCGTGAGTGTTTGTCCTGTTAGGTGTGTTGCAAATACCTTCTCTCAATCTGTTTTCTTACTATACAGATTATAATATTATAAAATTATAAACTTTACCTTTATGGTACCTTCATTTCGTATTTTGCTTAATAAAGATCATTTCTAGGAAAAACCAGTGTGTTCTTATATTTTCTTCTGTGTTGGTGTCTGCAAGCGCTCTAAGTTCTTGGAGTAGGGAGGACAAAGAGAGGATGAAGAAAATACAGACAAAAGCTGGGATCAGGTGGCCTTCTCCAGATGGGAAGGAAGAAACTGACTGTCCACCCCCCGCAGTGTGTTTATTTGTGCACGCGTCATCAGTGCCCCGTGCTTAACTAACTCCCCGCTGGCCAGTGTGCTCCCGTGTGCTTCTAGCACTCCATGCTCTTGGGGAACTCCTGTTTAGGCACTTGTGCTTTCAGCTCCACATGTGTGAACCATCACTAGCTCAGCCCAACACTCCTGGTTTATGCATAGTTTTAACCTGTTAATCATCCATGAATTTATTTTGTTAGCTTAAAGTATAAATATTAATATGCATTTTTCTTTAATAGGTAACAGTTTTTCTCAAAAATCACTTAGTAGTCCATTCTTTCCTGACAGTTTGAAAAATCAGTAGTAATTTTTAATTTAATTTTAAAGAGGATAAAACCAAGGAAAATAAAACCAATCAAAATAAACCAGTGTAAGTGATACAGCACTTCAAAAACTTACGAAATCAATAGTAGTTACCATAATGCCTTTTGTTGTCTTCAAAATAGCTGCAGATACCTTTGGACATAGTAAAATCGAACAGAACAGAATAGAATAGAAACAATAAAAACAAAATAATGAATGCAATAAAGGACTTCAAAACAAGCCAATAGTAAATCAAAAACAGCTACCATGATATGTTTTGCTATCTTTTAAATAGCTGCTCATGCCATCAGATTTAATATAATCAAACGAAACAAGAGAAAATAAAACAACCTAATAAAACAATGAAAATGATAGTTTCCAGGTGGGATGGCATTACTGGTGAGGCCTTGTTCTCTCCCTCTGCAGTCTGCGAATGGCGCTGACTCACACAGAAAAGCTTCGGTCTGGCTGTCCCCTCTCTGGCAGCAGCCCGCACATCAAAATCAGTAATAATATGAGAGATGAAAGGTTATAGGAAATGTTACTTTTCTTTTCATGCAAGGAGGATGTGAAACTTTTTTGGTAGCAGAAATTGAACTCAGGACCTTGGCGCTTGCCAGGCAGCACTGTGCTGCTGAATTATATGCCTAGCCTGAGGATGTAGATTTTAAGAAAAAGTCCAACAATGCAGAGCACAGTTTTGTAGAAACGGATGAAAGTGGGTTGCCGTGGGAACTGTCGTGATATATTGGATAATATTAAATGTGTAGGTGGCATGGAATAAGGATATACATAGGACAAATATGTATGGTACTTCTATAAATATTAAGCATAGTGAGCCACTGTACTTATATGGTGCAAAATGACCTTAAGAAAGTCGTGAGCTTTTAAAAAAAAGATTTATTTTGATTTTTTGACTGTGTCCCAGGAGTCATCATTGGCCATTATAAAGAAAAATTTTTGCATGAGCCATTTTGGGTTAACATCAAGTTTATAAGTGTACCTCTCATGTTTAATCATAGCTTGTATGTCTAATGACATTAAAATACAAAAATCATTTTCAATTATAGAAAAATCTGGATCTCTGATAATGTGCAAATTGTGATTCAAGAAAGAGACTACCAAGTATACAAAGTACACATCCAGAGGATAAAGATTTTCTAGAAAATTGGAAATGTGTAGAGAAAGTGGTTATGGTGTGTACTCTTATTGGACTAAATTTGAAATGTTTTGGAAATGGGGATGTCAGTATTAAAATTATTAACCTGTAACATAGTCATTAAAATTGAAAAGTATTGTTTTATTGTTTTCTGACTTTTCTTTCCTACATCTCTATCTTTCTTTTTTCTTTTGTTTCAGATCACACATCCGTTGGTGGTCTAGGAGACAGTTTTTATGAATACTTGCTGAAAGCGTGGTTGATGTCAGATAAAACAGACCATGAGGCAAGAAGAATGTACGATGATGCTATTGAGGTGATTATTGTCAGATTATTTTCCTTCTTAACATACTAACTATATGATTATTTGATAGTGGCTAGACAAATATAATTATTTTGTTGTACTCAGGAATACATACTATATGTAACGTTTTTATTAGCTAGATTCACTATATAGTTTGTATCTTTTTTAATAGATAATCTTTATATTTTATTTGTGACAGAGATTATTGAAGGAAGAGTTTAGTATTAATATATTTATGAAAATGTATCTTAGGTACCTTTAGTTAATGTCTACAGAAACTGGGAAACTTCTGACTTTACATACATTTGCACAAACACTGTCTTTCAAATGATCATTGAACCTATACTTGAGAACTGTGTGGGTAAATAATAGTGGCAGCACACTTACACAGTACTTCCACATAGCACACCTGGTTCTCACCCTCTTTCTGAATGAAGTTAATTCACATGAGAACCCTGATGTGCAGTGGGGTTAAGTAATGTGTTGAAGTCACTTAGGTGGTGAATGATGGGTCCAGGAACTGAACTGTCTGGCTGCAGAGGTTGCTGTCTTAATTACATTGTTTTGTATTTATCCTCATATCACAGTTTGCAACAGTTTAAACTTGAAACAGTAGTCACTCTAAGAAGAGACAAGGGAATTTGTAGGCTCAAACTGTAAAAGAGAAAGTATATTAATAATTTATTAAGCCAGGCGTGGTGGCTCATGCCTATAATCCCAGCACTTGGGAGGCAGGCAGAAAGATTGTTGCGAGTTCGAGACCAGCCTAGGCTACAAAGTGAGCTCAAAGCCAGCCTGAACTGTATAGCGAGACCCTGTCTCAAAAAAGACCAAAAAAAAAAAAAAGCCAGTTTCCCTGATCCACTATAAACCCACATCTCTGGTGAATTTAATAATTTCTCTGCTGTATTTTGTATAGCAGTACTGTTCTAATATAGTCATTAATCAGTTTTTAACATTAAAGGTTTTTTGCAATACTTACTTTTTTTAGAGTCCTAATCATGTTTTAAGAACATACTGTTTTTTAAAATTTATGAAAATTTGACTTTGTGGCACAGAGTGCTTTGTGTGTGTTGCACGTATTTGGAGTGATATTGTTAACTAATAAATTGGAGAAAATTAAAGTATAATCAAGAATTAAATTTCAGTGCAATTTCTAAAACTTTTTTATGAAGTCTTAAATTTTGAAAATTTGGCAAGTATCTTTGTTATTAAAATTTAAACCTAGAAGTACTTACGATCCAAGGAAAGTCATTATCTAGGCAAAATTACATATGAAGGTTCTTAGAAATGTAGGGTTGAACATAGCTCTCGTCATTTCCACTAGACTTTGGGCTCCATTAAAGGCAGGGGTTAATTTGTCATTGTCTCAGCACTTAACGCAAATCCCAAAACCTAATAGGTATTCAGTAAATCTTTGGTAAATGAATTGCATATATTATTTTTATTTTTGAGCAAATATCATTTGTCATAGAGTCTTTTTTTTTCTTCATAGTTTGCTTCTTTTTGTAATAGTCTTAATCTAGAACTATTTTTCTTTAATTCTTGCCAAAAGAGAAATGAAATTGTTGTATTTGTTATTACTTTTCTAATTGTATATGTTTTGAAAGGTATACTATTCTGAAAGTTAATCTTGTAACTTAAAATTATTTTCTATGGATCATCTGCCATATAAGCTTTGAGCCATATAAATCTTAGCATTTATTTTATACAGCCTGTTTGTATTAAGTCTTACTGAACTAAGTATTTTTTAATAAGTTGGTTAACTTTCATTTTGAGGCATAATGTCATGTATGTAATTTTTGTAATATTAGTTTATCTTTAATAACTATTCTGTTAAACAATATGATCAGACTATAAAATAAATAGCATATTGAATACTCAGATAATCTAGGAATAGCAATTTACGATTCATTCTAATTTAAATCATTTCTAAAATTTGCCTTTGAGCTCTTTAATTTCAGTTACCATCCTCATCCTGCCTTCTATTCTTTGAAATTTTTGTATCCATGGTTCCTATATGTTTTTCTTAGTTTTAGGTTTTGATTAAATCTGTGTTTAGTTTTAATTTTTAAAATAATGAACAAGAATAAGCCTTGTTAGAGGTCCTTTGGGAACAAGAAAACAATTGGTGAAATTTTTAGTTAAAGATTCATTGTTACTTTTTCTTAAGATTCAACAGTTTTATATAAGTTGAATGCTTAGGTATTTGTTGTTGTTCCAGAGAGCATAGGCCCATACAAGTGGTTTTGAGTGTTCCGAAGTAAATTACTGGTAAAAGCCCTCTCTTTACCTACTGTTTACCTTAGTCCTAGTAAGTTCACAAGTATATGCTTGAGTATCTTCTAAGAATAACCTGGTAATATTTTTGTTGTTTTGAGCAAAACTACAAAATAATAAAAATACTATATGAAAATGTATAACAAGGCCATGGATATTACTCTTTAGGCGGTTACTGAGTGAGTACCTTGTATGTAGAAAACCTGCTAGCATCACAAGAATGAAAAGCATTGTCTCCCTGTTGAAGAGATTAATTTTTTAATATGTGCATCAAAGTTTTATGGATAGAAGAAAACAAAAAAAAAAATTTAAAATTCAGTCGTAGTCCCTTGTCATTTGGTTACCAACTACCTCCCATTCCCTAATAGGTCAAATACCATTAGCACTATAGATTTATAAAATTTTGTTATAATTAAACATTTATTGAATCCATGGTACCTGATAGACCTTCTGGAGTATAAGACAATGAATAAGAGATAGTCACTACAATTCTGTAAAACTTACTATTATGGAGAATATAGACTACTGAGCTTGTCAGAGAGCAGCCTCCAATAAAAAATGTGGATTGACTCTTGAAAGAAATACTTTATTTTATTATTAGAAAGAAAATTGTAGTCACTAAGCATATTGAATACTTTCTACCAAAGAGAACTGAATTAATGCAGTTTCTTATACTTTTCCATAGAAGTACTTCACATATAGAGAACTGATTCATAGTCTCCCAAGCAAAGCCTAAAATCATAAACCAAAGAAGCAAAGCTTTCAGAGAAATCTTAAAATGTATTGTGATTCTTGTAGTCTGCTTTTTATTGTATTGAAATTTAATATAAAATACTTCACTGTCACCATGTCTTCGTTAATGAAATTGACATGGCCCCTCTTACTCAAGCAATAGCAAACAAAACAGATTTCTTTATTTAAGGAGTAAGGGACTAAAGAATTAAGGAATAAATATTTAACTTTCAACCAGATCCGAAAGTTTTATAATGTATTAGGTGACTAACTAATGGTGTCTTTTTAAGTACTTTGGCAAGTGGCACAGTTATACGGCAAATGAAGAACCATTTAAACTAATTATTGAAAATCACATCTTAATGATATGGCTATTCCTCCTATTCAGATTTTATTGTATGAAATAGAAAATGGATTAATGAAGATTTTGTCTTACAACTTCTTGTTATGGTTTTAGTTGACTGATTATAAATTACAAGTGGACAAAGGCTGTGATGGGTGATGTTGTGTAGAATGTTGCTCTATGCCAAAACACTCTTTTTCCCCCTTGAGTAGTGGTTGGGATATTTCTTTCATTTGTATACAGTTTGATCACTATTCCAAAATTTTCTTATTGTAAATTAAATCTCCCAGTTTGAAAAAGTTACTGTTTTATAGGATATTACTAATTTTTGTGACAACTGGAAATACATGTTTGAACACTAAATGGTTTGATTCTAAAATTTTGATTTTCTTCTCTTTCTTGTAGGCTATAGAAAAACATCTTGTTAAGAAATCCCGAGGAGGTCTTGTCTTCATTGGAGAGTGGAAGAATGGGCACTTGGAAAAGAAGATGGGGCATTTGGCATGTTTTGCTGGGGGAATGTTTGCCCTAGGAGCGGATGGTTCCAGAAAGGATAAAGCTGGTCATTATTTAGAGCTAGGGGCAGAGATTGCACGTACATGCCATGAGTCATACGACAGAACCGGTAAGAATGTTGTTAATAAGGCAAATAACTTAGTAAAAATAATCTCTAATTATAAAAATGTGAGTTAAAAAGAAAATTTGTAGGTACTAGAATACAATATCGTATAAGTCATTTTCTTAAGAAATTTAATTTTAGAAATGTGTTTTTCGATCTGCATATTTTTCCTTTCTTTTTTTTTTTTTAAAGTAGTACTAGGGATTGATTAAAACCAGACCCTGCTCATTGAATTACATCCCCAACCTTTTTTTTTTTTTTTTTTTTTTTTTTTTTAAATTTAATTTTGAGGCAGGCTCTCTTAATTTGGTCTGGGCTCAAACTTGCAATCCTCTTGCTTCAGCTTCCTAAAGTGCTTGGGTTCCTGGCGTGCATCATCGCATCCAGCTCTGGCATCAGAAATTCTGAACTCTGCTACTTTTTTTTTTTAATGATTTAAAAGTAATTATCTTAAAGACAAAAGCTAGACTATTTGGAGATGTAAGGAATAGCATTATTTTTGTAAAATAATCATTTAAGCCATTCATTTCAGCTTCTATAAAGCCAGTTACTTAAAAAAAAACACAAAATTGACTGACTTAGGTTACACTGTCTTGGTTATATGGTAGTGAAGATAAGAATAACCAAATAACTGTAGTGGTTATGTGGCTGATTGGTAGTTTGTTTTTTACTCAGTTCATTAGTAGCTCTTAGAGTTGTTCGTGCCTTTTACTACAAAAGATCCTTTTTCAGTGCTTTTAGAAAATAGATAATACTTTCCAAACTTCATTTATCTTTACTTGGAAAATGAAATTGTTTTTAATGGTGTCAAAAATTGATTCCTGGAAAGTGAAAAAAATTTACTCATTTTTAAAGAATAGGTTTGCATACAGTCAAGTACGTATTCCTTGTGTATTTGTTATCAAAATTTCGTGAAAGAAAACGACAATTTTTTTCAAAGCCTAAAGGGACTCACTAGAGGTACAGAAACAAGGTTCAGCATTGGACTAGACTGTCCAGAGTTTTCTGTCTTCACAGATAGCCATTTCTGTATTAATACAATGAGTAATGAGTTCCCTGAAATCATAAGAGGTACAAATTTATGTGTTTTTTTCAAAAGTATTATTCTTTCTTTAAAATAACTGCATTTCTGTTTGAGGGTTAATTTGTTCTTAGGTACTGTGACACAAATAATATTAGCTTAATAATTTATGCTAATTCATAAGTCTGACAAGTTACTTTTATGCAGTAAGGAATTGAACTTTTGATAAAACTAACCCTTCAGTTTTCTTATTAATAAACTCAGTGGTTACATTTCTTAAGATATATTTATATATAGGTCAAATGAACCCTGAGGCGAAGTTCTTTTAGGGTAGTGTAATGTTGGTATCTAATATAGATAAAGTCCAGTGATCTGTCTTACTAATAGCAACTAAATTATAATGTGATGAGAAGAAGTATCAATTATTGTCTTGGTTACTTTTCTCTTGTTGCTAGGACAAAATATCTGACACCGTAGATTAGGAAAAGAAGGGTCTATTTATTTCACAGTTTGTAGAGGTTTCAGTCCATAATGAGCTGGCTCCAAGGTAGGGTGACATGGCAGTTCATGACAGTTCATGGTGGCAGCAGATACCAAGAGCAAAAGGGGCCAAAGGGAGGAGCAAGCCTCTTTCCCTCCCTTGTATCCCAACCGGCCCTAGGGTGGAAGTGGCATTCACACTGCCAATCCTAGCACTAGACAGTGAACCAGTCACAAACTCTAAATTTAGCTGCCTTTGAAAGCCTCTCCCACCATAAAGGAAGGCATGATGCTTTATGGGAAAATTCGGACATAAACCATTACAGTTATAGATATAAAAACTTAGATAAAACTGCTAAAACCTTGAGTACTAGAATGGATATTCAATGTTTATATTAGGTTTGTTGCTTTATAGGTTTTGACTGTGTATCAAAAAAATAGATCTAAAACAGTAGAATTTAATGTGGCAGATAAACTGAAATATAAATATAGAAATATTATAATTAATCATTTATTCCATCAAACATAGACTTATATGCTGTACGTTGTATTGAATGCTTACAGATTAAAGTGTTAAAAGGTATATTCCTAAGAAATTCATAGTTAGGTGAAGGCATAAAAGGGTTTGACATTACTGAGATAATGTTTTAAGTTGATTCATTTTGTAGAACAAGGACAATAAAAATAAAACAACAAAACTTATTTAATGCCCCCCATTCTTTTAGGGAAGTTAGCTTTTGCATACAAATGATTTCTTTTGTCATGTTGCAGCATTAAAACTGGGTCCTGAATCATTCAAGTTTGATGGTGCAGTGGAAGCCGTAGCTGTCCGGCAGGCTGAAAAGTACTACATCCTCCGTCCAGAAGTAATTGAAACCTACTGGTACCTGTGGCGATTCACTCATGATCCAAGATACAGGCAGTGGGGCTGGGAAGCAGCACTGGTAAATAAGTCAACATTCATTTTATCTGCAAGAATATTAAATCAGGCTCTCCTGTGGTGCCGTATGTTCTCATCCACGTTATTTCATTTTGAGTGACTCTAGGGCAGTTTTCATTTCTCTGATGAAGAAACCATTAGTCAGTTTAAGTTACTTGAACAGTAGAAATGAACCTTGGAGTCTTGTTTTGTTCTGTATTTAGAAATAATTTCTAGTAGTATTTACTCTTACTGAATAGCTATAGTTTCTTAAAAGGCAGTTTTTAGTAGTTATAAAATAAGTAGTTTATTTTTTATACATTCATTTATTTGTTTCACAGTTTTTGGTACTGAACCTAGTCTAGCACCTTTGAGGGAGCTATATCCCCGGCCCTTTTAAAATTTTGAAACAGGATCTTATAGGGTTATTAAGTTGTCCAGAATGGACTTGAACTTTAGATCCTCCTGCCTTAGCCTCCCAGAGACCTAGGCTTTAGGCCTGTATTTTCGTGCCTGGCTTCTAAACTATTTTCTTAACCTCTAACCACTGCAGAAAAGAAATTACCCTGAGTAGATGCCCTCTTGTTCACTTTATCTTGTGTTCTGAGTAACTCAGCAGATCACTATAAGAAGAATCAGAAAAGTGTGAAATTGTTCTGGAATGAAATTAGGAATTTTTAGAATTAATAAGGAAGCTAACTGTTCAGGAATTCCATGGCTCTCAGTTCTTGGAGAGGGAAAAATCATTAGTCTTTTATGAAAATACAGCATATTCCTGGAGAGTGTTTTTATTTTCTCAGATTTACTAGTTAGGGTAAATTGTACTAATTATGAATGTTCATATTCACAGTGCTTAATTTATGCTTTCAGTTTAGATACAGTGATTAATGATAACTGGTCCAAATAAGAATGTTACAAAGTACGTTTTAGGGCAAGATATATACCAATTCATATAAAGGAGGTGTTTCTCAGTGGCAAAATTGGATTCATTATGAGCACAGCCTGCCATACCAAGTCAGGGCGCTTACTTTACATAGTTGTTCAGAAATAAACAGTGCACACAGGCACCTTGCTCTGATACCCACCCTGCAGTAACTTGTGTTAGTTACTGCCTATTATGCTTTGTGTCTGGATGTCCCCTAAATCTCAAAAGTCAGTAGAGACTTTTTTTGGAAGGCTGAATCTTGAGTTTGGGATTGATTTGAAGTGCGTGCAGGGATTAAGAGTGATTGCTGGATTGGCCCCACCCGAGTCCTAGCAGTTTGGATAAGATAAAAGGAGCAGAAAGAGGCTTGTTTCCTCCTCCTGTGCTTGTTACTTCTGCTGTCTTCTGCCTCTGCCATGTGGCACCCTGCCTTGGAGCCAATGGATATGGACTGAAATCTTTACAAACTGTGAGCTAAATAAACCTTTCCCTCTTTAAACACGTGGTATTGGATATTTTGTCCCAGCCACAGAGAAGAATAACTAAGACACCGCTGAAGTGTTTTCCTACGGAAAGTGGTGATAGACCTTTGTTTATATCAAACTCCTTCAGATCCTTTTTTTTTCCTTTCCATTCCACCTTACTGTGAGAATCTGTTATAGAAATGCTAAGTTTTTCAAAGGGCAAGGAACTGCTGAAGGCTTGTTCATTGGACAAGAATCTATTTATAGTCCATAAATTGGTGAGTTTTGGAGACTACCTCAATCTAGGAGTAATGTAATAACTTTAATACTTTTATGTCTTTTGTCATTCAGACCTAGATTAACTCTTGTGGACTTTAACTACAGGAGACTATTAATAGAAGCAAGATGATTACACAGAATAAGAACAGATACAGCATTTTTGATGTTAATATTCCTTGGTCTCCTGATGTTAAAGTTCAGGGAACAGCTGCTAGTGAAATTCTGCAAGACGGTCCTGCCGCATTTAAGAAGACAACCAAACTGTTGCCACAGTGGTGTGGGAATGGTAAACATGCATGCAGCTGTTGTTATTAGTGGACTACTAATATTTACATAAACTGAGTAATATTTTATCTAAGAGATAGACTTAAAAAGTAGTCCTCTAATGAATCTGTTTGACTTGAATGTACCCTAATGATTCAAAAAGAATGATCTAAGTTAGATACCTGTATTAGGAAAACATAAGACATGATAGAGAGGTGAGAGAGTTTTATTAGCAAGAGTAACACTTTTCAATAATTGGAGTACATAGACTTCTCATATAACAGCCTACCCGTTAAACGACTTTTCGCTCTTAGGATCTGCCACTCAAATTATGCAACCTGTCTTTTTATTTTTTTGTACAGTTCTATACATGTTGTTTATAGAGCCTCTGTGTCTTTTGTGTGTTAATACTCCTTGTTTATAAGTACTATAATTTTTGCTGATTACACTATAGTTTTATGTTCTGTTGTACATTGCAGTACTGCATGTAAGAGTTACGAAAATAAAAGTAAAATCATCACATTGGAGTTTCCTTTGACCATTTCTTTGTTTCAAATATTGTACATACCATACACAATTCCTCATTTAGTGACTACTTAATTTAATGACCTAGTCATAGGACTGAAATTTGGTCACTAAATGAGGAATATCTATATTTTCATTTGATACTACATTATCCTTAGGTTTAGAAAATAACTACTATAGTATTCTGCAGTCAAATTTTCATACAAATTTCTATGCACTTTTGATTGTGATTCTTGTCTTTAAAAACTCAAAATCCATGGAAACAATTGTTTTCTCTGATCTCTTTACAGGCTATTGAAAAGTATTGCCGAGTCAGTGGTGGGTTTTCTGGGGTCAAAGATGTGTATTCCTCTACTCCTACACATGATGATGTACAGCAAAGCTTCTTTCTTGCTGAAACATTAAAGTAAGTTTTGAAATTTAAAGTTTTAAAATAAATGTTAACTTTTTTAGCTGGGTGTGGTGGCACATGATATCTGAGCACTGGCAGACTAAAGCAGGAAGATTGCAGGAGTTCAAGGCCAGGTTGGACTACATAGTAAGACCCTGTCTAAAAAAAAAGTAATTAAAAAAATTTAAAGTTAAATTTATTTTTAAACTAGTATATAAAAACATAAAAATTAATGGGTATATAAACAATGTTTGTATAGCCTCTGAGTGAATATACATTAAATATCCAATATACATATATACATTAAATATCCATCTCCACACATTTATCAGTTCTTTATGGTTACATTTCAATAATCTTTCTGTTACCTTTTAAAAATATATAGTAAGTAATTGTTATCTGTAATTATCTTACTGGACAACAGTACACCAAACCTTCTTTCTCCTAACTGTAATAGCCATTAGTCAGCTATTCTCTCTCCTCCCTCCACTCTCCTCATCCTCTTGTAACCATCGTGCCACTGTTAGCTTCCATGCTGTCACCGTTTTTAGATTCCATGTGTAAGTGAAATCATACGGAGTTTTGAATGTAAGCCCAAAATTGTCTTTTTTCTTGTTTATGCCATTTAACATACTGATTAACCTTCAGTTGTATCCATGTTTTTGCCACTGACAATTTTTTAACAGGTAAATAGTATTCCATTTTATAAATGTACCTCATTTATTTATTTATCAAAATACTTTTATTGTGGATTGATTTTTGTGTGTGATTTCTAGATGATGAATTATAAGGATATGATATGTTACACTAAATTTTATTACAAATGCCATTTTATACAATTGGATCTATAAATCTTTAGCTGCATTTCAGAAAGAATGACTTAGACTGTAAGATATATAGTTTGTCAGAGAAGGTGTTTAGTACCTTTAAATCATTTTGTTCTTTAGTGTGTTTTAGAATCACCTGGAAATCTATTAGATAGCTGTGTAGTTTTGCTAGTTGGTGAAACCTGGGATTCTGCATTGCTGACATGCTGCCTGATTATACTGAGATGCTCCCCTGGGGCAACACCTGAGCTTTCCTTTCTAGCTAACTAAATCTCCTAGGAATAATTGTGAGTTTTGATAGTACTAAATGATACATGACCATACTAGCCATCTTCCTCATATACATTAAGGAAATGTCAAAAAATCCAAAAGATAATTTAGGCTTTATACTCAAAACCCAAGTAGCCTAGACAGAAAGAAGACAGAAACCTTCCTTAAATGTGTCTACTTACCTGTAGATTTATCAAGTAGCTCTTCGTACCATCCTTTAAATTTTATATTTCTGTTTGCTGTATATCTTTACATTAATGACTCATAAGCACTTCATTTGTTCAACAACTGTTTATTGTCAAGTACGATACAGGTCACTTGGAGTTGTGTCAGGAGACAAAAAGAACCAAAATTCCTTCCAACCTTAATTTTATATTCTATTATAGTTTACGTTCTGCTATGTTGCAGTTGAAATGTACATGTCTCAAACTAAATTTGTATCCTAAATGCTGTATTATTCCAGTTTTTCTTTTACAGATGGTAGTATTTTTTTTAATCTATGTTTTAGAATTGTTGCTAAACAACTCTACTTCTCATGAATTACAAGTCTGTATGGTTCTACTTGTTATTTTTTAAAAATTTGTCCATTCTATTCCATATCTGCAGTTGATCTTAATCCAGATTTATTGATGAAATGGTTTAGAACATCTTCTCTGGTATTCAGTTTCTTTCTTACTCCTAGGTATTTTTTGTGAGTCATCCTGTGTTTAGGCATGAAGCCTATATGATAGTTCTAAGAGTACCAGAGTAGAAGACAAAATTAATAGGAGCTTTAGTTATTCACTTGTTATATTCTAGTTGAATGTACATGTAAAATAAATTTCTTTGCTTTTAAAAAAGTTTACATATCTGTAGTCTGTGAGATATGACCTAAAATATTACGTTTTGTTTTTTTAAATTTTAAGATGAGGAAAACTAAGATAATAGAAAAGAAAATTGTGTGTGCTTCAGCTAGGTTTATCTGTTATGCTACACTCTTTTCAGTGTTGGGGATACAACCACCAAGGGCTTCACATATACTTGGCAGGCACTCACTCTGCCACTCAGCTCTAGCCCTTTGCCACATATTTAAATTCTCTCTCCATACATACACATACACACATCTACATCTGCATACACTTAATGCCTATAATTTTCCTATATTTAGACATTATTTTCTGGACAGTTTTAAAGTTAGTTACTGTACCTGCATTTTGATGCTTCAACAGTAGCCTTCAAGAAAGTGGCATCACCCTATATAATCATGATGTAGTTTTCAAAGTTAAGAACTTCAACATTCATATAATACTATTTGTTATAGAATACATAATGCATTCTTGAATTTCTTCTGCTCCAAGAACGTACTTTATAATTTTTTAACGTCAGTCTAGACTCTCATACAGAATCATTTGTTGCATTGTATTACATCTGTTGAGTCTCTTTTAATCTAGAACAAAAGTAAATAAAGTAATTCAGACTAGTTGTTTTGAATATCCTATACTTAGATTTTTCTCACTGCTTTCTATAAATCATACTTAGGTTAGATATTTTTGGCATGAATGTCATGTAAGTAATGTGTGCTTACATAGATACACATGCTTATATTCTATAAAGTGCCCTATAATAATAGTTTAGCCTTTTCTTGGTAATTTTTAGTTTGATTATAGGTAAATTCAATTAAAAAGTCATGTAAACAATCTTTTCTTTTAAAATTTAATAAGCTATCTGTGGAGTGAGAACTGTATTAATATCCTTATTCCAGGGGCTGGGGATTTAGCTCAGCGGCATAAGTGCCTGCCTTGCAAGCAGGCAGTCGTGAGTTCAATCCCTGGTACCAATAAAAAGGAGAAAGACAAAAAAAAAAAAAAATCCTTATTCCAATAGGCTTTCACCCACGATTGTTAGCATCTTTTGCCCTGAAGTCAAATATTTCTATACTACTGATAAGGGAACCCTGAAATTGACTTGCATCATTTATGTGTCACTTTCCTGCTCAGAAGCTATAATTGTTCAGCAATCTTTCTAGGTTTATTTCTCTTATCTTGTAGATGCTATACTTCAGCCAACCTAATCTACATTGTGATACATAAGTAAAAAGTATTCTTTAGCATTACTTTTCTATATTTCACTGTCTCTGATAGAAATGCCTTTGCCCTTTGGCCGGGCATTGGTATGACATGCCTGAAATTCCAGCACTCCAGGAGGGTCAGGCAGGAGGATCTGCAAGTTTAGTGCCAGCCTGAACTACATAGCAAGACTTTGTCTGAAAAAAAGTTGCATTTATCCTATTAGTTAATACCTCTCATTTTAAAAGTCAGTTCACCTCTGACAGACGGGCTTTTATAATTAATTTGTAAATGCCCCCATAAGTAGAGACTTTGAGCATTTTAGCATATGCATAGGTCTAGAAAAAGATGATATGCTACCTCAGTATGTATATGGACTATATAATCTTAGTATTTTTCTCTGCCAAGTTCAGGCAGAATCTTGGCTAACACAGCAGTACTGTAGATAACCAGTGATTTATATTTTCTTTCAATAAAACATATACACTTTTGTCAGTAAAAATGAAAAAGGCCAAATAAGAAACAAAAATGATGACTGGCTAAGAAAATTGTCATATTTGAATATTCATCACTGAACTTCCTTGCAGCTGACAGTGAAAGAAAATCACATAGTGTCATACTCATCTTCGGGAGTCTGGAACACCTATTATGTTCACCAAGGAGGCAAAATTTTTAAATTATAAAATGTTTTAAGTTGCATGACTCATTATTACAAAATTTATACTATTAAAGGAACCTTATAAAACAAATCTTAAAATGCTGATATTTCTTACTGCTCAATCTAAATATCTTCAGTGGTCTTACAGAAAAAATAGTTTAATAATTTTATAAAAAATAATGACCTAATATTAAATTCAATTTAATAAAGTCATTTCTGTGAAGATCTAAATGAATCCCTCTGTAGGTTTATAATTTTTTATTATAATGGTGCAGTTTAAGGCGGGCCTGCTAACACGTGGGATACCAGCATGCTGGAAGACTAAAGCAGATTTTTAAAGCCTACCCTAGGTGAGTTAGCAGTGTAGTAAGAAGTTGTCTTAAAAAGCTGGAAGTTAGGCCTTATTAGATACAGGGATAAACCTACTGTGTAAAGATGAAGAATTCAAGATAATATTAAAGTTTCCATTGTGGTTAACTAAAGATTTAGACACTTAAGTTTCTAGAAGAAACAGGTTTTCAGAAAACTAATTCTTCTGACATATATTCCCAAAAGACAGTTACAAATATAGATCCAGCGCTCAAAGGAGTTCAGAAAGATTCTGAGTAAAAGGAGAAAAGAAAATCTCTATTTGATTCTTTGACTATGCCTCCATCTAAAAAATGAAAGAAAGTTTTAGCTTTGTTTGGCAAAATAAACACATGCATTTATCCTCCACACTTTGTTGAAAGGCATTAAAATGACTACAGAAAACTAAAAAGATAATAAAAGGGCAGAGCAATCAACAGACAAAAGATGTTAGTACATTTTTAGATGGAAACTCCCATCAAGAGAAGTTAATTTAAAGCAGGCTCTTCTGAGTACTTCAGAACACAGGGTAGGATTGAAAACTGGAATTTTTCGGGGGTGGTTTAGGCAAATAGCAGTTAAACCCCAGATCCATTCCTTCCTTATGCCTATCCTAAATGAGACTGAACCTTGTCTGACAGTGTTGAACTGCTAAGGCTGTCAATTTAGAGACAAGCACAGATGAAAGTAGACAAGGGACTGGAGGAGTACCTTCTGGGAAAATTGACTATTTCTAAAGAAAAAGAAAAAAAAAAAAAAAAAAAACTAAAGGTAACTGGCACATGAAGTTAATGACATTGTTCAAGTCTTGACTGTTTCATAAAGAAATGGGAAAATTACATCACTCTGCCAAGTTTTCCCAATTAC